TCTAAGTATTATCTAACCTCAGTATACATTTATTTGACAGGAGCTTATTGTTTGGCAATAAACAGATTTGGTCTTTTATAAGATAACCTGCAAAGTTTGCAAATAATAAAGTCTGATTAAACTTACTATTTTTAGATTTCATTTAGAAAACCTATTTCCACAAACATACTACATCAATAACTGTTTTTATTATCAAAATGATTTTTTTTTGGGGGGGGGTGCATCCCACGCTAGTTAAGGTCTCTACCATGGAGCTACATCCCAAGCCCAAGTTTTTATTTCTGAATGGTCATTAAAAGATATTAAAACTTTCACTCATTAAGTCACTCAGCAACAGAATTTTATTTTACTCCTTCTCTAAATTATTTTTGTATTTATGAAAAGTTGGAGATATACTACTACACTATACTGAGATGTTCTTTTATTCTAGGAAGAAAAAAAGGAATATCACATAAGACAAAAGAAGAAAGCAATTTGGGTATACCTGAGATTCATGGAAAATGCTGAACAAATACACTTTGTACCTAATAACTCACAGAGAGTGTTACAAGAAGTTTCTATGAACAATGAGATTCAAATTTTGTCTTAAACATATAGACATACTGCAATTCTGTTAGTGTCATTATTATTATTACATGAGAAGAGGTTTGGAAGTCAGGAAGGAGAAATCACACAAAACCCTATCATATAACCGAACTACCTTGGGTTAATTACGCATTACGGGGGAAGACAGCTGGCATTTCAAGAGATATTTTTACTCCTTGCTACTTACTAGGCAAATAAGTAATGGATCCAGAAATAACTAGCAGATGCAACTAAGCGAATGTCAACTACCAGTGCTAGATATTGGGAACTAATCCCTGCCATCTATTTCAGCAAAGGAACAAGGTGAAACATAGGGGCAAGACTAAAAACAAAACTATTAGAAAACATAAGGTGAAGGGGTCCAGAAAAGGAACCAGAAAAATTAGAACAAATTGGACATAACTTTCCTATATTCAAATATATTTATATATGAATATGTGACAAGCGAAACTCCACATCATATTCAACCTCTTCTCAAGAATGGGAAGTTATACTCCATGTTATGTGTGATGTGTCAAAATACATTCTACTGCCATGTATATCTAAAATAATTTTAAAAGAAATTGTCACAAAAGCTAGGGGAGATTTATCATTGGAGCTTTTGGGAATGTAACAATGTTCTTTTTTTTAAATGTCTTTATTTTATTTATTTATTTATTTTTTATGTGGCGCTGAGGATTGAACCCAGTACCTCACAAGTGCAAGGTAAGCACTCTATCACTGAGCTATAACCCTAGCCCCAACAATGTTTATTTTTAACTTGGGTAGCTGTTTCATGACTGTTCATTTACACACACACACACATTTTTGCAGGGGGAGGACAGTACTGGAATGCTGAGCTATATCTCCAGTTCTTTTTATTATTATTTTAACTTCCTGATTATCTCACCCAATCCCTTCCAATACCTTCAGTATCTCAAATCTAGAATACTTATATTCCCTGTTGAACCCAAAGGATTCCTGGGGCCCAGAAAACTAAACTTATAAGGGCTTCTTTATGAACGAGTATGGGTGTTATATATATATAGGGATAGGATCATTCTCGTTCCCTGGGAGCTCTCAGTTCCCAGAGCACAAGAAGTCAACAATAGTAAATCTCCAGGATCTGTGCTTCATTATGGACACACTTTTTGAGTATCAGGGCTGCGTGTCTCAAAGTATTTCCTTTCATTCACCCAGTGGTAGAGTGCTTGCCTAGAACCGGTGAAGCACTAGGTCTGATCCTCAGCACCACATAAAAACAAATAAATGAAGATAATTAACAAAACAAAAAATAATGCCACTTATGTTGGCTTTCTATGACTGTATAACAAATTTTTTTCTTTTTTCTTTTTTAAAGAGAGAGAGAGAGAGAATTTTTTTTAATATTTATTTTTTAGTTTTCGGCGGACACAACATCTTTGTTTGTATGTGGTGCTGAGGATCGAACCAGGGCCACACACATGCCAGGCGAGCGCGCTACCGCTTGAGCCACATCCCCAGCCCTGTATAACAAATTAACAAAAATTTAGGAACTTAAGCAACACAAACATGTTATCTACTTTCCAAGTGTGAGAAGTCCAATGTGTTAGCTGCTGAAATCCAAGGGGCTTTGATTCTTATCTAAGGCACTCTGGCTGTTATAAACCCTTAGTTTCTTTCATTGCTAAGACTGAGGCTCCGGGGCTGGGGATGTGGCTCAAGTGGTAGCGCGCTCGCCTGGCATGCCTGAGTACGGCCCGGGTTCGATCCTCAGCACCACATACAAACAAAGATGTTGTGTCCGCCAAAAACTAAAAAATAAATAATAAAATTCTCTCTCTCTCTCTCTTTAAAAAAAAAAGACTGAGGCTCCTCTTTTCCTGGTAGCTGTTAGCCAGGAACCACTCTCTAGAGCAACTTGAGGTTGCTTTCAGTTCCCTGCCATGGAAGTCTCCATGGGCAGTTTACAACAACAGGCTGTTTGCTTTCCCCAAGCCAGGTAGAGTCTTTTAGACAGGGCCTCACTTAGGCTGGCTTTGAATTTGTAATCATCCTGACTCAGCCTCACCAGTAGCTGAGATTATAGCAATTCCATTACAACTGACTTCTTTTTATAATTATGGACAAATCGTATTCTTACATTTTATAAACTTTGCTCTTGACATATTCCATAATGAACAGCATTGATCTTTAACAGCATTATGCTATAATATTCAAAAAATGAAAGCATTAGCCATTTAGAGAAGATACAAATAAGATAAACAAATTTTAATATGCCAATATAGTGCTCTTTTTATGGCAGGGAAGAAGGAGGGGTTCTAGAGAGTGAATCCAGGGGAGCTTAACTGCTGAGCAACATCCCCTCCCACTTTTTTGGTACCAGGGATTGACTCAAGGACACTCAACTACTGAGCCACACCCTCAGTCCTATTTTGTATTACTTTGAGAGACAGGGTCTCACTGAGTAGATTTTTCTAAGATTAGCTTTGATCCTCCTGTCTCAACCTCCAGAGCATTGCACAGGGAAAAATTTATTTTGAGACAGGTTCTTCTTACTAAATTGTTTAGGCCTTCTCTTTGTTGCTGAGGCTGGCCTTTAACCTGGGATTCACCTGCTTCCGCTTCCCAAGTAGCTAGTTTTACAGGCATGTGCCACCACATCCAGCTCAATGTAGTGTAACTTATTTATTTTTATTGAAGAATGGATGTTGATTTTGTGCTTGACAGTCTCTAAGATGGCCCCAAAGTTCACTACTTCCTGATATTTGTGCTCTTACATTGTCCTGTCCACCAAACAGCACTGATCTACATAGGCACCATGAAGACACCATAGGTTCCTCTTTGCCCTTTTATTTCAGGGTGGGGGGTGCATGTAAAACTAACCTTCCAGGCCAAGGGAATATTTAAACAGTTCTATGATGAAGAATTGAGGCCTCCAGCCAACAGCCATCAAGGATATATACTGGGGATATAGCTCAGTTGGTAGAGTGCTTGTCTTGCATGCACAAGGCCCTGGGTTCGATCCCCAGCACCACCAAAACAACAACAACAACAACAACAACAAAGAAAAAAAAAAAAAAAAACACCTATGGCCTCAAACAGGGAGTCTGGAAGTGACTCTGCATCTATAGCACACTCCTTTCAGTAGTCAAGTTTCTACATGACTACAACCTCCTGACACCCTCTGCCAAAAAGCACCCTTGTCAACTGCTCTTGAATTTCCAACTCACAAAAGAACATAATTGTTGTTCAGAGATACCACAGGTTTTCAGGTAATCTGTTAAGCATCAACATATATTCATATACACTTTACCAATGAATTCCTTAGACTACTATTTAGAAACTAGATAGCTTACCCCTATCTGAAAATGTTTCAAATGCTCTCTATTGCTCATAGAATAAAACATCAACTCCTCACTATGGCTGACAAAACACTCATGATCTGGCATCTGCCCATCTTTTCACCATCACCTGATTCCAATCCTTATCTTCTCAACTTCACTGGACACTTCTGGCATTTTCTTTTTCTCCCAATGTTCCCTTTTTCTTTATCTAAGACCTTTTCTCTTACTGTTTCTGGGCTTAGGAATGTTCTTCCCTACATTCTTGGGAGTATTTTATTCTGCATAGTTTGCCTCTTTATTTAGCTCACTCTATAGATTTTTTAAAATATTTTTTTAGTTGTTGATGGACGTTTATTTTATTTACTTATTTATATGTGGTACTAGGAATCAAACCCAGTGCCTCACAAGTATGAGGCAAGTGCTCTAGCGCTGAGCTAAACTCCATCCTGCACTCTATAGTTTTTTCTGGAAAAAGGATGTATCTCTCTGTTGCTCAGACTGGCCTGCAATTCATGGGCTCAAGTGATCCTCCTGATTCAGTTCCCTAATAGCTGTGTCTGTGGGCATGTGCATCCAAGCCCAACTTCACTCAATTCTCAGTTTCAATATTCCCTCTCCAGAGAAACCTGTCAGGATGACCTATACTTAATAAGAAAATCCCAGAAGGATCACAGCTGAAACAGAAACAAGATAAAACCATCACCATCAAATCAATATAAAATTGAAGTTATCTGAAGAAATAAATTCATAGAATAAAATTGATAGGAGAATATAAATTCATTACTATAGAGAATATGTAGCTGAGATACACAAGGCAAATAAACTGGAAAGGAAACATCTAACACCTGAGAATAAAACTTTTAAAAAGCTCTGAGGGAAAACTGGTTTGTTTAAAAAAAAAACCAAAAAACTGGTTATTTAAAATAAAAATGACAAGTGTTCAATATTCTAAAGGTGTACATCTAGCAATAACATGCAAAACACAGGCAAAAACAGAAAACTTCCTTGTTATCACCTTGTGGCTATTTTTCTGATCCAAACTTTCATGGGACCGCCCCCAAAAAGCATTTAACCTGTATTTTCAAACATTTCCAAATATCAAGTACTTACCCACTTAGCAATTGGACACCCATGAGAGCTTTTTCCTTCTTTTCCTGTGTATACAATTTGTTCTAGCCTTACTGCCTTTCCTTTATGGCCATACCTATTACAAAGCAGAGTGGAGGGAATACACTAATTAACTACAATCTACACTTGAAACAATTTGTTTTTAATTGCTATGAACAGAAGTTTAAAAAAAAAAAAAAATCAAACACTCCTCGTAAATTTACTTTTGCCAAAAAATTGCTTTTATATGGCAGACATTTCTATTTCTATTTCATAGTTCTTCTTACTGATCCTTAAAGATCACTCTTTAAAATGAAACTGAGTCCAAGACAAGCAACGGGAATGCAGGGTTAACTTAATGTTGGCAGTGTTAATTTGAACTATTCTCACATTATATAATATATATGAATAAGGATTCCTGAATTAATTATAGACAATTAGCCTTGCTTCCTGAGAGTCTTTTTAAGCACCCAGCAGCTCATAAGGAGGACTCAGGAGAACATATGGGCATTTTTCTTCTGAGCCCTAACAAACATCCAACTCATACTCCTCAAAATTCTCTATTCACCTCATATTTGTTCCCAGAGATAAACTTATCTGCATTGAGTCAGGTCCACAATAAAGAATGATTTTAACAGGGAAACACATTTCCTCACCTATTCTCCATGATTTCCCTGACAGCAGCAATACTTGGTCCTGCCCCAAGGTGTGTATAATATGGGCCTTTGTCTTTTTGTATACCTCGATCTGCGGAAGGAATAAGATTATTAGACCCAAAGCCTTACAAAATTTCATAGGGGCAAGGAGCTCTTATACTATTTTTGCTTTGTTTTTGTTTTAATTCAGAACCATGAATCTTTTCAAGATCTTAGTCAGCGAGGTTTTCCTGCTCCTAATGTTCTTTCTTTCTTTTTTAAACCATCAGAGGATGGGGTGGGTCATCTTTATTGTCTGATCTCCCCCTTAAAAAAAAAAAAATTATAACTAAGGCACAAATTAAAACTTATCCAAGACTGATAGGTCTGAGAAGCTTGACCTCAATTCCTTTTAAAATTGAGCCTATCAATTTCCCTACTAAGAACTTATCTTACTTCACACACAATTATGTATTTAGATTGGAAATATACAAGAATGAAATTATGTATTTAGATTGGAAATATACAAGAATGTTCGTTGCTACAATTACCAATAGTATCAAAAAAAGGGAACCAACCTTAACAAAAATCCCAGCAAATGATAAGTTAAATAAATCATAGGAAGTTTATACAGAATACAATAAAGCTACTGAAAAATAATATGTATAAACATTTTAAAAAGCTAAAAAGAAATTTAAGCTATAAAATTAAAACAGCAAGTTGCAAAGTGGTGCTTTGAAAAACCTACATTCAAATCAGAGACAAAATAAAAATCAGCAATAATGTTTATTCATATAGAAAAGTATAACAGGGATTTTTTTCTCAGAGAATAGAGAAAGATATTTACATACTTCTGATTTAGAATCATGTATAACTAGAATCACTGGGGAATATCTGTATTTTATGCATTTCTGACCATGGTGTATCTAAACAAAAAAGTCAGTGATCATTTTGACTGGACATTAAATATAATATAGAATCACTTATATGGTTTTGTTTTCCTTTTTTTTTTTTTTTTTGATACCAGGGACTTAACCATTGAGCGACATCCCTAGTCCTATTTTGTATTTTGTTTAGAGAAACAGTCTCACTGCATTGCTCAGGCCTCACCTATTTACTGATGCTGGTTTTGAACTTGTGACCTTCCTGTTTCTGCCAGGATTACCAGCACTGCCCAGCTTTCTGTGGCTTCTTAGGCAAGGTACATAGATGAGATCTTAATTTATTGGGCATCTAGAGCACTAGTTGTTACTACTGATCTAAAGCAGGGGCAGTTTTGCCCCAGGGGCAACATTTGGCAATATCTGTAGACATTTCTGGAAGTAATAATTTGTCAGGTATGTGTGTTAGTCCTGCACACTAGCACTAATATCCAGTGAATAGCTCCACAGGCTGAGACAGGAGGATCCAGAGTTCAAAGCCAGCCTCAGCAATGGCAAGGTGCTAAGCAACTCAGTGAAACCTTGTCCTTTTTTTTTTTTTTTAAATATTTATTTCTTATTGTAGTGCTGAGGATCGAACCCAGGGCCTTGCAAGGGCTGAGTGCTCTACCGCTGAGCCACAACCCCAGTCTCCCGAAACTGTTTTTAAATAAAATACAAAATAGTACTGGGGATATGGCTCAGTGGTTGAGTGCCTGCCCCTGAGTTCAATCTACTGCCCCCCCCAAAAAACTAGAAACTTGACCCAAATTTGTTGTAGATAGGGCAAGGAAAGTATTATTTTCCTTAGCTAATGCTAGGTGCTCCCCCCAAAAAAATCAAATCCCACAATGCACAGGACAGCCTCCTGTGTTCTAAAATGCTGATAATTAGGGCTGGGATATAGCTCAGTGGTAGAGGGCTTGTTTAGATGCACAATGCCCTGGGTTCAATCCCTAGTACCACCAAATAAATAATAGTGTTAAATTTGAGAAACACTAGACACTTATTACTCCACTTCACTAGAAAATAATGCCCCTGAAGGAAAGCCATTACCCTGCCTTACTTGATGATCCTACTTGGTCATCCTACACATGTGAGCACAGTACCCTCAGAGGTAAACGATTAGACATAGATGTGACAGTGTATACCATAGTTTAATACTTGGTTGTGACTGGTTACTTTGCATGAGGAAAGGGTCTTGAAAAAAAGATCACCATCTATTAGAACCATCCATACAATTAAACTAGACTTGTACAGGTTATGTATTGATTTTTTGAATTGCTGGCCTTTTTTCCATTTGTAATTATACACAGAAACACATTCTTCCTCTTATTCTTTGGATTGTTGAAGAAAGAGACAGTGGAAATTATAAGAATGGGCTCTAGTTGACACTGCCTGTCTCCTAATCCCAGTTCAGTCACTTTCAGATTGTGAATATCTCTGGGTCCCAAATTTCCTCATTTGTAAAATAGTAATAATTGATAATAAGTATTCCCTATGCAAGAATGTTGTGAATTTTAGAAGGCATGGCATAGAACCAGACTCATAGTAGGAGCTACAGATGGTGAGCCATTTACCACTGTTAGTCTAAGAATCTCTCTTGGTTTCAGCCAGGCATGCCTGTAATCCCAGCGGTTTAGGAGGCTGAGACAGGAGGGTCAGGAGTTCAAAGACAGCCTCAGCAATTTAGGGGGGCCCTAAGCAACTCATCCAGACCCTGTCTCTAAATAGAATATAAAAAAGGGCTGAGGATATGGCCAAGGGGCTGAGTGCCACTGCGTTCAATCCCTGGCAATGAATGAAGACCTCTATGTTTCAGTTCAACTCTCTTCAGACTGTGCAGTGCTTCCCAAAAGAGTGTACCCTGGCACACAGTTGTAAACACAGTAGCCATCTACAAATGAGTCACATGCCCAGCCCTTTTTATTTTATATTTTGAGACAGGATCACAAAGTTGACATGGCTGGCCTCAAATTTGTGATTCTCCTGCCTCAACTTCCCAGATTCCCTGGGATCACAGGGATGTACCATCATGTCCAACATTTGGGCCATAATTTAAGTGATACTGTATTAATAACTAAACCTATTTAGATGGGGTTCAAAACAAGTTCTTTCACAAATTCTGTCCTGTTACAATTCTATAATCACTGAAATAAGGGGTTTTAATGAGAAGATTAAGAAACTAGGGGCTGGGGATGTGGCTCAAGCGGTAGCATGCTCGCCTGGCATACGTGCGGCCCGGGTTCGATCCTCAGCACCACATACAAACAAAGATGTTGTGTCCGCCGAGAACTAAAAAATAAATATTAAAAAAATTCAAAAAAAAAAAAAAAAAAAAGAAACTATAATGACATGATCTATTTAATCTCTTTTTTCCCCCATCTATGATTACTGATTTTCTCTACCTTTAGTAAGGAGGTTGAAATCAGTGGTGCTTTACCACTGAGCTACAACCAGTGTCTGGATAAATTGGTTGGCCTGAAACTTGAAATCCTCCTGCCTGAGACTCCTGATTCACTGGGATTACAAGCACACATCACCACACCCAAGCTCAATGGATTTGTTATATTTGAGTGCTTACATGAAATTTGAATACAGTGACTAATCAATATAGGATTGATTAGTCACTGTATTCAAATTTCATGTAATCAATATAGGAGTCAAATTAAGCTTTCACATGATTCAAATGCTAAGCAAATTTCTCAAGAACTACTGAAGAATCTTAACCCTAGCAAGACTTTTCTTAATTTTTTTAAGTTGTAGATGGATACAATACCTTTATTTTGTTTATTTATTTTTTATGTCGTGCTGAGGATCAAATCCAGCACCTCAAAAATGCGAGGCAAGCACTCCACTGCTGAGCCATGACGCCAGCCCTACACCGGGCCTTTTAACCACAGATAAAAGTAATTGTTAAGTCCCATGTAGTGGTGCATGCCTATAATCCCAGCAATTCGGGAGGCTGAAGCAGAGGTGTTTAAGTGGCCAGCCTGGGCAATTTAGTGAGACACTGTCCCACTACAGAAAAGTAAAAAAAAAAAAAAAAAAAATGAAGCCTGGTGTGGTGGCACATGCCTGTAATCTCAGCAGCTCAGGGAGGCTGAGGCAGGAGGACGGCAAGTTCAAAGCCAGCCTTAGCAATTTAGCAAGGCCATAAGCAACTAGTGAGACTCTGTGTAAAAATAAAAAATTAAAAGGGCTGGGGATGTAGCTCAATGGTATGCATCGTTACTAACAATGCCTAGTACTAATAAAAAAATTATTAATTTCTCAATATTCTCTTTCAATGACTCCTAAGGCACAAAATATACTGTGACCCCCCCTACTAGGACAAACTTATCCACTGAAATAGAAAACTAATATCTGCAGAATAAGTATTAAAATACATTAAAACTCAAAAAGATTTATGAATTCTAAAAGTAACTAACATAAAAGAATTTCTTAATACCTGGATACACATTTTCAATTGCAAAATAGAGAAGCACTAGAACCTGGCTGAAAAAGAATTAAACCGTTCTTAAGTAGATGAGACTTTGTATAGTTATTTGTTAAGTTCTATATATTCTCTGTATGCACGTACTAGCTAACCAGAAAAAGTTTTTAATGAAATCCTCGTAAGTCAAAATTCTTCTAAATATTGGGAGAACAATTAGTCTTTAATAAAGTATTAAAGAAATCCTTCTTCGGCTATGACACTAAACTTGAGACCTTTTTTTTGATGCTGTTCTGAGGAATCTAACCCAGAATCCTTTACCAACTTCCCAGACCTTTTTTATTTTGACATAGGGTCTCACTAAGTTGCTGAGGCTGACCTTGAACTTGTAATCCTCCTCTCTCACTCGCTGGGATTATAGGTCTGTGCCATCATGTCCAGCAACTTGAGACATTTGCTTGGAGAGAAAGTTTACCTTTACTTTTCTGCACTATGAGTTGAAATATCTGTCTTTTCTCAGCAGAATGGATTAAATGTCTAACAGAAAAATGGGTACAGAATTATTTAGTCCACCTTACCTATGGGGGAAAGAATACTATTCAATGAATCAGACAGGATTCATCGAGTCTGTCAGGATGTGTGACCATTTCTGCAGAAGAAAGAACACATCTACACAAGCACTTACCAAGACAGTTGCAAGCCGGAGCTTCTGATTCTTTTGTTGCAGCCGCCAGCTTTTTTGCAGGGTTACTAAGAAAGTTCACGGCATTATTAAAACTTGTTTGTACACCATCTACCATTGAAAAATCTAATGTTTCAACACTAGATGAACAGACCGTCTCTTCAGTTTTGATAGAAACCACTCTAATTCCTCCTGAACTTCCTGCATTTACCTTCCTGAGAATATGTGCAGGGTCTGGTAAGGGTGTCTCATAACAGACACCAGGCAATGTTGTCAGTCTCTGATGCACAAGATGCTCTTGAACATCTTCTTGAAACTGTGTTTGGTCATCAATAGCCATCACATTAGCACACTGGTTAGGTGGAAAGGAGGCCAGGGGCAAAAGATGAGCTTTCTGATTGACATTCACTGTTGACTGTACCTGAGAATTACAAGCTTTGTCTGTAAACTGCTGCCCATCAGATTCTGTTTTGTTAGGAAATAATGGGAGAGAATCCAATGGTTCAACCTTCATCATTTTTTGCTGTACTGATTCAGTGTATCTCTCAAATTTTATCTGAGTGAGTGGAGGAAATAATTTTTTCTGTTGTAGGGATAAACTGGCTTGAGTCAGTGGTTTGAGTACTTTACCAAAATGAGGAATTTTCCCCAGCAGAATAGGAAAATCATGTGACCCAAATTGACCAAATCTTTGAAATTTGGATGCTACCCAAATATCATGTAACTTACTATACTCATAGGACAACTGCTCCTGCTGCTTCTGCTCGTTTTCTTGACAGTTTATAGCCAGAGGCCTCTTTTTCCGACGATCTCTTGATGGGATAGATTTTGTCTTTTTCTGGGTTGTGTTCTTTCGCTTTGGTAATGATGGAGCTTGATTATTTTGCACACTTGGTGGTGGTTTCTGTTGAATTGTGCCCTTCTCCTGACTAATTTTTTGCTGCACGTTATATGGAACAATGCTGGTTGGGGTACTTTCAATATTCTTTTCCTCTGGTTTTACATAGTTGAAATTAATGATTGATGCAAGTTGTGTTAATTGTGTTGCAACATCTTCTTCAATTTGACTGTAGGATACATCTTGACTTGATGGATCATCTTTTGAATTTAAACTTTTATTACTGTCCAATAACTGGTTAGATTGCTCCAATTTATTACTTCTTGGCGACAAGTGAGGCAAGTCACTAGTTCTGCCTTCCAATGCACTTTTATTGGTATCAATATTAGATGAATTTGATTTTGGGGAAAAAAGGGAGTCTGAATTTGATACTTTTGAATGTTCATGTGGTTCTGCAGATGCTTGGTTAGTGGCTGAGCTGTGCTGTGACTTGGACATGGTATTTTGGCCATTGAACACTACTGTGTTGCATGAACTTTCCTTTTGGAGAGGTGGACAGTTATGAAGGGTTGGTGAGTTTGGGTCATTGAGGTCTTTTGTTACAGAATAGAGGATAACTTTGTAACTATTACGGAAACAAGCTGTTGTCTGATCTGTTTCTTCATCCTTCTCTGACTTCGATGGTGAAGAATTCTCTGATGGGGTTTCTGACAGTTGTGTGAGGGCCTCTATGGCGACCAATTGTTCTATAGTTAAATTCCTATCTTGCATCATGGATAAAATACATGATGTAACTGGAGACCCATCTTTTGTTTCTTTACGTGGTATGTTCTCAGGAGGTTTTGGTTGATCACCTTCATTGTATGCATTAGTATGAGTATTTAAGTTTGCAGAATTTTCAACGAATATGCAGTTAAAGCCAGGCTGTGGGAAGGGTAACATATGACTCTTCCCCTTGAGATGACCACCACTTGCACTAGAAGGAATAGAGCTCATGGCATTGTTATGATTGGCAGTATCTTTCAAAAATTTACAGGGATTGTTTTCCAATGACTTATCAAATTCTTCAATATTAAATTTGTTAAATGACACATTTGTTTCACTTGGTAAACACTGTACATTTGTAATGCCATTACTTATTGTTGGTACAAACAACTTAGGAGGTTTAATTTCTTCCTTATCATCTTCAGAGTTTTTTGATTTTTCAGCCTCTGTTACACTTTCTCCTTTGACCTGATCTGTTAAATGTATTTTCTTGTTTTGTGTCCACCTCTCCACCTTGATACCTGTCATGCTTTCTTCATTTTTAGTTACATTTTCAAGGGGATGTGTATTCAATTCCAAACTCTTTTCTTCCCCATAACCACATCTGCTGAATTCCATGGATTCTGACTTCGGGCCATTTACTGATTTGTTGTCAAAATCTACCTGTAAAATAAATACAGAAATTACCCGTATTAACTACTTAAATATCAAAGTTACAACAAAAGGAACTTTATAATTTAATATCAACGAAATGTGAAGTCTCTATGGATATAACCTAAAAGATTATTATTTCTGCCTTTCATACATTCAGATAAGTCATAAAATACCAAAAAGTAGAATACAGGATGAGAGAAAAAAAATTAGAAACTATCATAATATCATGCAGATTAATGTCAAAACTTCATGTCTATTTTCTTTTCTCTTTGGTAGCATGGATTAAACCCAGAGGCACTTAACAACTGAGCCAAATCTCCATTACTTTTTATTTTCAATTTTCAGACAGAGTCTCACTTGGTTGTTGTCCTCAACAAATCTTTGTTGCTTTGAACTTTCAATCCTCCTGAGGTGCTGGGATTCTAGGTATGTGCTACCACACACAGATCAAAATCACATGTCTTCTAAACAAACATCCATTCCTTTTTCCATATGTAGTTATAAAATATTTAATATTGGCTTCATTCAATGGGCAATATCAATCATTTAAATTCTAATTGAATTGACAAAAACCTTACATACAAAAACAATACAAATCCTAATTGTTGAATTTTCACAAAATGAATAGTGATGTACCCAGTTCTTAAGCAAGAAACTCCTCTGTCCTGTCTTCAATCAGCCTTCAACAGATAAATATTGTCCAGGTAAGTAAGATCATAGACTTCTTTCTTTTCTTTCTTGGTACTGGGGAGTGAAACACGGATTCTTTGACTCTGAATTACACCCCTTTCCTTTTCATTCTGTATTCTGAGACAGGGTTAGGACCTCATTAAATTGCTGAGGCTGGCCTTGAACTGGCAATTGTCCTACCTCAACCTCCCAAACTTCTGGGATTACAAGCATGTACCACTGGACCCAGCACATCATAGATTTCTTATGCTTATTTTCAAAGTTTACATTATACTTTTGAGATACATCTACCTTGTTAGGTATACTTATACTCCATTAATTCTCACTACTGTAATTTCTACACTGACTAACCAACAATTTATTACTCAATACAACATACATAAACTACTTAGCATTTCAGAAACCCTGAGTTCCATATTCAGCAATGTAAAATAAATTTTTTATAAAAATTAACCACTGAGCAAATGCACTGTGTAGTTGATAAGTTAACAGACTTGGGTATATCTAGAGTTAAAAATATCTGGGGTTTTTTTGGTATGTGTGTGGTATTACAGATTGAACCACCATGCCTAGCAAAAGTTATCTCTTTCTTAATACTAGAGGAAATTTTGATTCCAATTCATAGAATACAACAAATATGAATTCTAGTCAAAATAAGCATCAAACACAAACATACACACACAGAGGTATTGGGTTTTGAACCCAGAGGCACTTTACCACTGAGGTATATCAAAGCCCTTCTTATTTTTTTGTTTTTAGATAGGGTCTCACTAAGGCTAGCTTTGAACTTGTGATCTTCCTGCCTCAGCCTTCCAGAGTCAATGGGATTACTGGCATGCACCACTGCTCCAAGCACTACAATTTTTTTGAAACAAAGGTATTTGTTTAAAAGGAAAGAGGTTTCAGGATAAACAGATGGTCAGTTTGCCAAAATAGACATGGCTTATATCAGAGTTCAGAAAACTTTTCCTGTCAAGGATAGAGAATAAACATTTTGGACTTTATAGCCCATACATCTCCATTACAACTACTCCTGTTATAATGGGGGGAAAAAACAGCCAGATAATTTGGGAGAAAAAAAAATGTGGCTCTATTCCAGTAAAACTATTTATGGAAACAAAAATGTGAATTTCGTGTAAAATTTACAACACCTACAAACACAAAGATGAGTAAGGAAAGATAGTCCTCCTCAATACATATAAAATTAATAGGCTGAGGACATAGCTCAGTGGTAAGAGTACTTGGCTGGCACACTAGATAAGACCCTGGCTTTGATCACCAACACAAGGTGGTGGGGGTAGCATGGGGTTTGACACCTACAAAGTAACAGTAATGAAATAAACAAGTGCAGATATGATGTTATCATCCCTTTTCTTGTGAGACCCATGAACATTTATCTAGCCCAGATGAAACACCAGTAAGATAAAACCAAAAATGCTAACACTACTTATATCACTGCAAAATGGAACTGAAAATGGGGAGTTTCATTTTTCTTTTTTACAGATATGCATATCTAAGTACACTGAGGATACATTGCCCAACAATGATATATTGAAGTTCTTTTAAGAATTATGTACCAGAAGATCTTCATAACAAATTCATATTAATTAATGAGTTGAATTAAAAACAGCAGAACTTTGTTACTAAGCTTATTCCATCACTTTAAAACACTAGGTGCCATAGATCTGTAAATATGTGAAAACATGCCTTGACACAGCCATCTATTAAAGTAAGACTTAGAAAACAGTTTTGTGAGCAGGTCGCTATGGCACAGGAGCTACAGGAGGCTGAGGGACAAGGACCACAAGTTTAAGGCCAGCCCAAACAATCAAGTAAGGCCCTAGGCCCCACAAACAAAAAAGGCTGGGGAAGCAGCTTCATGTTAAAGCATCCCTGGATTCAATATCTTATGATATACACAAAATAAGTAAGTAAATACATATATAGAAAACAGGTCGGTGGATTCCATTTTGGTGGAAGCCAATTATATTTCCTTTTTCTGTTTTCTCAAAAGTAACCACTGAATTACAAAAGCATTCTATTAAATGTGTGTGCATGTGTGTTCTTACATGGTTAATCTTTTTCTGATACCTGCTGTTTATATTGCAACTGGGTGCCTATGATATCTCTGTAGGGTGGGGAATTCAAGTTCAGGTGTGGTCAAAAGTTAATAATCTAGGCCTGGCATGATAACTCAAACCCAGTGATTTGGAACGCTGAGGCAGGAGGGATCTCAAAGTTTGAGATGTTGACAATTTATGGAGACCTTGTCTTCAAATTAAAGACAAAACAAAAACAACAGGGAGAGGACTGTGGTTGTAGCTTAGTGATAAAGAGTGTTTGCCTAGCATGTACAAGGCCCCAATACCACAAGAAAAAAATAGTTAATTATAGAAAAATAATTTTGAAAGGAAGACTCAGAGTGTAGCTGAGTGGTAGAGAACTTGTACAACATACATGAGGACCTGAGTTCAATCCTGAGTACCAGAAACAAAAATAAAACAAAAAGAAGTAAAACTATTTATTGGCAGTGACAGGATCAAACCCAGGGCCTCATGCACACTGCATGAGCACTCTAACACTGAACTACATCTCAAGTTCCTGAGTTTTGCAATTTATCCTGTAACATAACAATTTCAAATTTGAAGATTTATTGTACTGTTAAAATTGTACATAATGACAGTGTATTTTATATAAATAATATACATGTAAAAGCATTTTATATATATATATATATGTACATAATGTTTTGAAGGTTATTATAACAAATGATTAAATATATCCAAATGTTCATTTATAGGAAGTAGATTGTGATGCCTACATAGTACTATGTAGCCGCAAAAGAGTAAAAATATTTCCATTCCTATGGGCTGGGGTTGTGGCTCAGAGGTAGAGCACTTGCCTAGCAAGTGTGAAGCACTGGATTTGATCCTTAGCACCACACGAAAATAAAAAGGTATTGTGTCCACCTACAACTAAAATTTATTTTCAAAAAATTTATTTTAAAAAAAATTTCCCATTGCTAATATGCAAAGTTGTCCAGGATACACTGGTACTTTAAAAACTGAGGGCTGAACCCAGCGCTGGTTTGGCACAGGCTTATAACCCCAGGTGGTAGGAAGGCTGAAGCAGAATAATTGCAAAACTGAAAAAAAAAAAAAAATTAAGCAGCTTAGCAAGATACTCCCTCAGAAGAAAAGAAAAATTGCTGGGGTTGTACTATAGTGATAGAGGGCTTGATGTTAGATACTGTAAAAAAAAGGAAAAAGTGAGTCTGGTAGGGGAAGGAGAAGCAGCTTGGGAGTGAACACTTGATTAGCAAGCTGGGGTCATAGGGTTCAATTCTCAGCACCAAAAATAAATAGAACATAAAGCCTGTGTAATAGAAAAAAAAATTAAAAGGAAGGGCTGGGGGATATAGCTCAGTTAATTGGTAGAGTGTTTGCCTCCCATGCAATCCCTAGCACCGCCCCCCCACACACACACACATACAAAAGAAACTATTACCTAGTATGCAGAGAAAAAAGAAAAAGAAATACTAGTTGTCATGTTGACAGTAGGAAGGTTAGAAGCAAGAATACATAAGAAAAATACATACTTTTAGTTGTAGTTGGACACAATATGTTTATTTTTATATATTTTTATGTGGTGCTGAGGATCGAACCTAGAGCCTCACACGTGCTAGGTGAGCGCTCTACCACTGAGCCACAACCACAGCCCAGAAGCAAGAGTTTTTCATTTTTATTTCTTTTTGGTAGTACTGGGAAATTGAACCCAGAGGCATGCTAGGAGAGAGCTACACTCACAACCCTGTTTAATACTGAAATAGAGCTTTCTAAGAAAACCAAATTTAAAAGCAAAGGAAAGCTGGTGTGGTGGAACATGCCTTTACTCCCAAGAACTCTGGAGGCTGAGGCAGGATGATGCAAGTTCAAGGACAGTCTCCCTAATTTAGCAAAGACCTTAGAAATTTACCAAAACAAATAAAAAGGGCTGGGAACATAGCTCAACAAGCTTCACTGGGCTACATTGCCAATACCCACAGCCCAGGCCCCCAAAAGGCAAAGGAAAGATTAAGCAGGTACCCAAAGGGTTACCTAAAGATTCTAAAATGAGAAGAATTCTAAAATGAATACGTGGCTCCAAAGCCTCAAGCAGAAGAATCACAAATCCAAGGTTAGTCTCTGAAACTTACTAAAAGCCCGTCTCAAAAAAAAAAATAAATAAATAAACTGGCTGCAGTGTTGCACGCCTATAATCACAGTGACTGGGGAGGCTGAGGTAAGAGGATGAACTCCAAGTTCACTGCTGGGCCCAGC